CGCTGTTGCCAGTGGCTGCAGCGTGGCCTCTGTGTCCAGATGAGATGGGGCAGAGGTGGGAAGAGAGAGAGGTCTCGGTTTCTCTGCCCAAGGGTGCCTGTACCCATTTCTCCACGTTGTGATGCCTGCGGAGCCCCTACAAGTCCCCAGGGCACCCGCAATCTTAAATTCTCCCGAGAAACTGGCCTCCGTAGCCTTTAGGTCATCTCCATCCGACCCTACTCGCCCCAGTTCTCTGTCTTTTCTCCTCAGATGTCTCTCCGGCTTCCTCCAGCTCCGGGACACTCATCCAGTACACCCCCGACTCTGCCACTAGCCCCACCACAGAGCGTCCATCTCCCCAGCCCCCTTTCCAGAAGGTCAAGGAGGAAGGTGAGGGGGTGGTGAAGAAGGCCAAGAGCCGCACGGCCTTCTCCCAGGAGCAGCTGCAAATCCTGCACCAGTGGTTCCAGAGCCAGAAGTACCTCAGCCCCCAGCAGATCCGAGAGCTGGCTGCTTCCCTGGGGCTCACCTACAAGCAGGTGAACATCTTGCTCTGAGCAGCTGAGTTGCATCCCTGGTGTGAAGTGATCTTGCGAGCATGTTTTTTTGATGTTTTGTTTCTCTTTTTCTTAGACACCAGAGATGAGTTTCTTTCGTGGCCTTGTTTTATGCCATTGCTTATGTGAGAGAGCAGAGGGTGTGAAAACTTATGACTCAGTCTTCCTCTTGTGTTTGGTTCCAGTGCTATCCACCCACTCCCTGCAGGTGTTTTACAGTGCATACGAGACAGGGCTATGCAGAGTCAGGTTACTGGTCTGTGTGGACATGTGTTGCCTCTCAACATGAAAAATCAAGTACTTGCACTGCTCTGCAAGTTGCCATTGTTAGTCAGAGCGGCACCTGGATCTCTCCCTAGAGAGAGGGTCCTTGCCCCACCAGCTACCTGTGTCTGGCTGACAGAATGACTCACTTGTGAGTCAGACCTGAGCTTGGCAGTAGCAGGGAGATGATGCTGCTGCTGTACAAGCTGCTTTTCTGCCTGTCTTTTGGGTAGGATTTTTGATGTCCTGAAAGATCCTATGGTGATCTGAGATGTAAGAGTGTTGGTTTTCAAGTCTCTGCTCTGTGATTCTACAGATACATGGGTCTACTTGGTATCAATAGCTGCTGAAACTACGTATAGTATTAGGAGCCAAGAAGCAGCTCGATTGTAGGAGAAGGCAAAACATCTTTAGGATGTGTAGTAAGCTCTGAGTGTGAATTTCTAATGCCCTATGTCCTTCCCCATCACTTCTAGGTGAAAACATGGTTTCAGAATCAACGGATGAAATTTAAACGTTGCCGGAAGGAGAGCCAGTGGGGGGAAAAAGGAGTTTATCTACCACAGGTGAGAGAATTCCCCCTTCCCCCATCACCACCAGTCACGATTCCTCCAGTCTGTGGAGAGAAGTACATCATGTTCAACCTGCTATCTCAAACAATGCACAGGACTCTGTATTACTAACCTGGTTGTATTTCTCATAATAAGGCTCACGGTGGCATCTATTTTAAGTCTGTCCTGGCACTAAATGAGCTTTGTTTCCAGCCCACTTACTTCCCTGTTGAGACTGTATAGAAAGCACAATAGTCAAAGACGGCCAGCAAGGCTACTCGTGCTGTTTTTCTCCCCAGTGGGGTGCTCCCAGACATGTTGAATTGGAGATGACTAGCTTAAGATCTTGTCATCTCTGCTACTATTAGTCTACAGTGTGGACAATGAGTACAAAAAGATGCTATTGTTTGGTGTGGGGGAGAAAGAAGAACCCATCCAAAAGAATGGGTGTATCTGTGTGGTGCTCTGCATTACTGAACAGCCTTCTCTGTCTCCCCTAGAATGGGTTTCATCAGGCTTCGTACCTGGATATACCCTCCACGTTTCACCAGAGCTTCCCTGTTGGTACCAGCAGAAACCTTCAGGCCGTGACCAATGTGCACCAGGCTTACAGCAGTGGCCAGACTTATGGGAATGGGCAGAGCCTGTACACCTTCATGGCTGTGGAGGACGACGGGCTCTTTGGAAAAGGCGGGTCAAGCTGTAATACCCAGCAAGCCATGGGTGTGTTAAGCCAGCAGATGAACTTCTATCACAGCTACTCTGCCGACGTGGATTATGTTAGCCTGGAGTCAGAAGAGAGCTATGGCTTCCAGAGCACCTCTGACAGCGTTACACCGTTCTCCAGCTCTCCTGTTCTGCATCAATACCAGGCCCCTTGGCATCCCTTGGGGACCCAGACTGGTTATGAGTCTTAGGTTAAAGTACTTTTTTTTCCCCTCTCTTCTCCTGTTTTCTTTCATGAGGTTTCTAGGGTATTGACTCAAGGATCCAGTGTCTATTCCTTTCTCTTGCCCCTCCACCCCACTCCTGTTTTAACCATTGATGGGGCTCAGCACCCTGCTGCCTTGGGCTAGTTTTCTGTTTAAAGGCAGCTGTCTGTTCATAGCTAACCCTTGGCCAAGGGTGTTTTGTGTGTGGATAGATGAAACTTCTTTCATGAAGGGGAATGTGCAATGCCACAGTCAGGAGCAGCAGAGGTCTTACCTTCTTCTGCTGCCTCTTCAGCAGGTGATTTCTGGTCCTTGCCCTGTGTATCTTGCAGCAGAGCTTTGCTGGAGAAGAAAACCCTCTACTTCAGCATATTTCTGCTAGAAATGCCCTGTTACAGCCCAGAATTTTTCCTGATGTCTCCCCTATTTCTGTTGCTACCTCAGTCTACCGACTGCTAATAGGTTCTTCATCTGCATCCTTTCTTCCCTCACCAGAAAGCTACACAAGATCATCTGATTTCAGATGACTTGATCCAGTTACTCTCAGCAACTCCTGGAGGGGTCAGCACCTGCCTACCCCTTTCCTGCTGCCCTCTTGTGTATGTAGGGCAGTTGAGAGGAGGGGAGGAGCAGAGGAGACAAAGTGGGGCAGGGCATCGCCCATATCTCATACGGAAACTTTGGTTTCCGAAGCTGCTAACTTATTTATGACCATCAGCTTCTTCAAGATGGTGTCTCTGGGACTGTACCCACCCAGTTTAGATTGTCTTTCTACATCTCTCTGCTGAGAGAGACTGTGGGCTTGTCCCAAGCTGCAAATGGCAGCAGAGGGTAGCCCAAGGTGCCATGGTTGGAAGTGTGAGAAGTAACTGAGTGTAGTCATCTTTGGAGTGGTGAGAACAGTCCGCTTACGCGTACATGATGGTCCCCTAGCACTTCACAAACACAGCACCACTGCAGTGCAGCTTTTTCAGGGCAGGCAGCTAGGTAAAGGACTCGGTTATTTTAAAGGTAATGTTTAATGTCACTTATCTTGGAACTTGGATGTTGGGGGTGGTGAATCCTGTTGGGTCCCAGTGGAGCTGCTGTCCAGGGGACCAGAGCAGGATGGTTTCCCTATCTCTTGTCTAATCCCAGTTTAAAGAGTGTAAGCTAGTAGGATTTTTGTCCCTTCCCCAGGGCTCAGTTGGATCTGTTTCATACTATTCTGCTGAAAAGACTGCCTCATCTGACATTAAGTACCTAAGCTCTGGGGGAGGTGAGAAGTTTAGAGAAATTTAGACAAAATGAGGAAAATGTCAATTAAAATTTTCAGTTTGTTTTTTAAAAATAACTGAATCCTCCTTTTCAGTATGGAGAAACTGGAAGTCGGCTCCAACCTATGGGAAACTGAACTTTTTTACAAGATGTGGAGTTGCAGAGTCCAGTCTGCCACTACCCAAGAATACAAAGTGGCATGAGCTGACAAGAGTAAATGAGACAGTAAAAGCATAAATATTTCTGTGGCAGAGTGTTTGTTGTGGTTAGTGCACAGTTTTTACTGCAACCTTGTCTTCAAATGTCTGCACAAGTGTTGTATGCTGTAGTTAAACTTTCACTGCAAAGGAGGTGAGCATTTGTTGTTCCAGAATATTTTTTCTTCAAGTGTTATTTTCTTGCAGTGATCTCAAGCATGTTTTATGTTATGTGCATGTTGTCTTATTAATTTGTTTCTGCCTAATGTTCTTACAAACTTGTTTGAGTTAAAATAAATATTTTAACGTTGAAACAATGTTGCCAGAAGTCTATCAGCCTTTTTTTTTTAACATGCAGGTGGTGCTCCCTAGTTGCCAGGGGAGGGTTTCAAGGATAGGCAGCTGCTAGCTGCTGGCTTGGGGTGATGTGCAGCCCTGTAACAGGTTTGTATTGCTCCTTAAACTGCAATGCCTCAAAACAAAATGAGGGTAGCAGCAAAACTGTGCATTTTGAGATTATACGGGCACCTGCTCTAGAAGGCCACAGAGGTCTGGAAGCCCTGCATCACTGAGGCTGCAGCTCTTGGGCTTCTTGTGCTAACCACAAAAGGCAGAAGTTTGTGTAAGTAACTGAATCCTGCCTCCAGCAATGAAACTAAAATTTATTTCCCTCCTTTCCCTCAAGACTGCATTTATCTCTTAGCATCTGGCAGCAACATTTAAAAGGTACTGAAACATGAGATACACTGCTTCAGACCCCATGTGTGTATCAGCAGCCACCAATTTAGAGACTCCCAAGAACCTATTTCTGCTTGGTGAGCTTTCTGTTCATCAAAGCCTTCCTTTCCTTATACACCTCTTAGTTTGAACACCTGTGCAGCTTGCATGCAGCCAAGGGCTACAAGTGTCCATGAGCAGCAGTACCACTGGAAGGAAGCAGCTGTGTCCAGCAGCTGATGCTACTGCTGTATCAGCAGAGCCAAGGTCCTGTTAATACTCATAGCTTAAACTATCAAATGTGGCCCATATGGGTTTAATACCAGGTTCCTTAAGCTGCAGTAAATCACCAGAGCTTTTCATCTGTCTGCAAGAGGTAATTCAGTAGGTGCTCCCACTAAGCACAGTTGGATAAACTGGGGGCTGACTGCTCAGGCTTGAACTGCCACAGGTCCTCTGCTGATCAGAACCTGCTTGTGTGGGTGCTGAAGCATGTGCACTGTCCTTTAGCAATACTGTAGTGCTCTGTTTCCTAGGCTGAGGTGGAATACATGCAGAAAGAAAAGGGAACAGAGGTTTGAGCCTGTAGAGAGGGGATGAAAGGCTAAGTTGTCCATTTCTGGGTTGCCAAACTTGTAACAGTAGAAAAACATAAATCTGACCTGGAAGGGGGGGAATTGCCAGGTTCACATGGTTTCCTGTATTACAAAACAAAGATCATTTCTCATCCTGGGTTGAGTCCCATATCCCAGCATCAGTTTGAATTAATTCTGGGCAATGTTCTAGTATTATTGTTAAATTTCCATAATTTTAAAATACAATCTTGAACAATATACCGATAAAAGTCATAGATAATAAAACCTTGCCTCTCAGCTTTAAAACTGACAGCTTCAGTTTGTTTGTTTATTTTTTAAGATGCAAACTTGAGCTCTGAAGAAATACACAAGGTGCATGTGTCTTTGCAGAATGATTGCAGAGGATGCTTTCTGCAGATCACCTGTGTTGCTTTGGTGTGTCACTCTGCCACGTTTCAGCTACAAGAGTGAGGGGGTAGCCAGAGCTCTGCTGGCAGATGTCCTCCTGCAGAAACAGATGTTGTTGCTAAAAGCCCTGGGACTGAGATGACTTGCTCTGTATGCTGTGGTTTGTGTCACTGTTCCCACATTTATGAAATGACACTGTCATGACATACTCTGTCAAGTAAAAAGCTTCCTGGACACCATCTCACTACTAATGTACAAGACAGGTGGGTGCTATTTGACCATTCTGCAGAAGTTGAATGTTCTTTCATGGGTGCGCTACTACCCTGGTTGCTCAGCCCGGGTTGCACGCAGGTTTGGCGAGCTTATGTAGTTTTGGAGGTGGAGCAAAGATGTAGAGTGGCTGTTAAGGTTTTAGCAGGGGGGCTGGAAAGGACTGCTAGTGGATCAGGAAGGGTTTCTAGAAGCTGTGGAGTGAAATAGGACTCTGCCTTTCCACAGTCCTGGAGGTCTCCTCTGTTACCCTGACATACCTGAGTCACCATGATGTGAAACAGCTTCACAGGTAACAGCAGCACTGCTACCAAAATGATGGCGCTGCAGCTTATCCATCCAGATTTCCAAAAGGGTTTGTCTCAATTTCCCAGAGGAAGTAAGTGCATGTCAGCAAAAGCCATTTCTGCTGGATACATTACATCTTTGTTAGGACTGCTGCTTCTTGTGACTGTGCTGTGTAACAGTGACTTCTGCACGCTGCAAGTGTGATTTGCCTTGCCAGTAAACCTTTTCAGGATCAAGTGGTAAGCTTATATGGAGCTCTTGATATGTGTTACAGCTTGTGGGAATGCACTCTGCATTCTGCAGTGTGAACACTTCAGTTTGTCAGCGCTGCAGATGTAGCTCCAGCGGTGCAGAGAATCTCACCCTGAGAGAATAAATTATATCTAGTACAGTGTGTAGACCAGGGTTTATTATCTAATTTACTGGGTTCCAGCCTTTACTGTCCCATAGGCAAAATACCAAGCAAGTAGAGTGATGCAAGCAACCTCATTCCTTGCTCTCTGTGTCAATGTGGCCTGCAGCTATGTTTTACAAGCTACACGCTTCTTCTGAGTGGCCCACAAGCAAGAGCTCACAGCCTCAGTTGTCTCTCCAGTGCAGATAAAAGGCATAATCTTTGCTTTAATAGGCTCTTCCCTACCAGCATGTGCAAACATTATATTTAGTTACCTAATTACACTGCATGACTCGATTGGTGAGCTAACAGAGTTTCAGAATTTTGCAGTAAAGCATAGCCACATATCTGTTGTTTGACCCATCATCCAGCAGCGCCTTGGCTGATACTGAGCCATTAAGAGGCATGAAGGACCCAAAAATCATGGCACTGGTCTTAGACACAAAAAAAAAGATTTTCCTTTCCTGTGAGGTCATGTTACCTTCATGCTGTCCAAAGCTTTAAAGAGCACCCTCAGGTGCAAACTGCAAATTTCTTTCTTTCATAACCAGGCTAGAATGAATTTCTTATGTTCAATGGAAGTCCGTTAGGTGTGACCCCAGTAGCTGGGCTGTGTCTGAGTCACTAAATTTTTTACAAATTACAAAATTGGGACTGCTGCCTTGGGTAAGCCTCAAGATCCATCCAAGTCATTGCTAGATGCTAGGGAAAG